AATTATAAGAATATATTAGTAACGCAAACTATTATATAAAGACATGGTGATCTATTTACCTTATTTTATGTATTAAAAATCATTAATATTTTTTTTATAAAATTCATCAAAAGAATAAAAAAAAATCTTGCTTTTTTTCTTTTTTTTGTCTCCAATTTACCTCTCTTAGCAAGTGTATAAAAAAAAACTTTTTTTAATATGCATGTCTCAATTAAAAAAAATTTCTAATCTTTTTTAATTTCACAATAAGTTTTTTTTATTTAATTTCTTTTACTGCTTATTTTTTATTTAAGTTTTGAAAAAATTATGCTAAGATCACTTATGACTGAATCTTAAACATACACCAAACAAATGTGATAAGGATAAGAGTTTGTCCTATACTTTCTCCTATATTTTAGCTCTTATCCTTAGCTAAAGTACTTGATGTAACAATCAATGCTTATCACCATGGATTGTACCTGTATAAATATACTTGTAATACCTCATATAATATATAGAGAATATTCAGATTTTATATGGTATTTGAGCCATAAAGTGACTTAACAATCAAATTCATTTTTTTTTCTTTTCTCTCCTTCTCTCTTACACGATGTTTGTTACACCACCTAAACAGACTCTGGTCACAACCTCTCCTTCCTTTCCCAATCTCAACACACACTTACTCCTATCAATTTTATTGTCGGGAAAACTTAATTCCAACCCCTTTTACGTTGTCATGGGTTGTTGCATCACATTGATGGCTCTCAACAACCAAGTGTGTCCACCATCAATGATGTACCAAATCCTACCTATGTGTAGTGGGAACGCAATGATCGGTTAGTCCTCACTTGGATCATTATGTCTCTCACGAAGTAGTTCTTCCTCCGGTGGTTGGTGCCACTAATGCTTATATTGTTTGGCTCAAACTTCTTGCTGCTTGTGGTTTTGGTACACAAATGCAGGTCAACCACCTTAAAGGTAATCTTTATCGCCTTGTTCAACGAACCCGATGTGCTTGTTCCTCATTTCTTCCAATGAGGAAAGAGTATGTATGATACACTTCAATCACTTGGCCCGGATGTGTCAACTAATGATTTAGTGCAAGCATTATTATGTGGCTTCAAGCACTCCCTATAGGCCCTTCGTGCGTCCCATTAAGTCTAGACACGAACCCGTCGGTTATGAGACCTTTTATAGTCTTGCCCACAGTAAAGAACTCCAGCTACAATAGAGTATTAAACCAACATACATAACCATATCGGTGCATTCCGCTCATCACCACTCTTCTCATCGTGGCGGAGGTCGTCGTGGTGTGTGCCTAGCTACTTCAAATTCGACAAAGGAATAATTTTTGTCCTCACATGTTGCATGACTCCAGTCCTATGATATGTTACAATTGCCATGGTATAGGTCACCTAGCACATGTATGTCCCTCTCTAAGGTTTCGCTCAACCACTCGCCACCCCAAACCAATTTCTAACCTTGCTTACTCCCAATCCCCTAACCAACCATGGATTATGAACACTAGTGCAGCTCATCATTTGATGGTATAATTTGATAATCTTGCTTGTTCATGATGAGTATAATGATCCCGAGAAAGTGCACTTAACCGACGATAAACATGTTCCCATATCTCATATTGGTTCTACTTTTTCTCAACTCGCATAATCGTTCTTTTTCTCTTAATAATTTTTTACATGTCCATTCTACCACTCAAAATCTATTTATGTCAATAGTTTTACGTAAAATAACTCTTGTTCTATAGATTTTTTCTCGATAAAGTTTTGGTAAAGACTTGACTTTTCAGGAAACAATGCATGTAGAACCCCTTGACAATGGTCTCTACACCTTCTTCTTGGATCATGCCTTGGGTATCCTTTCTCCATTCAAGCTCACGAGTACGACCTTGGCAACTCGACATGCTCGACTTGGGCATACCTCGTTCAAGATCGCTCACTAAGCTTTAAAGGATACTCGGTTTTCGTTCCTTTGTCATATGTTTCTTCGTAATGTCATGCTTGTTCTCTTAGTAAAATCCATAAGGTGCTTTTTTCTTTATCTAGTTATAAGGTAAGACACCATTAGAATTGATTTGTTTCAATCTTTGGGGACCCTTTCATATTCCATTTATAGATGATTATTCTTATTATGTTATTTTTTATGATCATTATAATAATTATTATTGGTTATTCTTTCTTTGTTATAAATTAGAGGTTCTTAGCTATTTTATCAAATTCAAGCACACTATTGAAATTTTTTTCGATAAGTCCATTAAATAGTTTCGATCTGATCGGGGAGGAAAATACCAAGCCTTAACAAAATACCTAAATAAAAAAAGAATTTCTAAAAGTAGTGTTTGTCCCAAAACACTAGAACAAAATGGTTTTCTTGAGAGGAAACACCGTCATGTAGTAGAAACAAGCTTAGCCCTTCTTCACCATGCTTATGTTCCATTACATTTTTGGACTTATGCTTTTGTTGCTGCCATTTACACTATCAACCATCTTCCCACACCCGAATTACATAACCATTCTCCTTATTCCACCCTTTTTAGTAACAATCTTCCTATGATGAGTTACAATTTTTCGCTTGTTCATGTTACCCGTGGTTAAGGCCATATGCCGACCAAAAATTAGAATCTAGATCCTCTCGTTTGTATTTTTTGGGATATAGCAAAATTTCTAAAGGTTATTTATGGTATGATTTATGCACTAAGAAATTTCATATATCACGCTATGTCTTGTTTGATGAATAGATTTTTTCCTTTGACCTACCAATTAGAGTTCACTAGTTTTGCATTGTTCAACGGAATAAATTTCTCTTCTTTTGCCTTTACCAAATGCCATACTCTCATAAACAAACACACCACTGCTATCCCATATACCAACCGCCTCAAAAGTCTCTAACACACCGGACTTGCCCTCTCTCCATCTATCTAGTCCGAACCCCACTCATCATAAGTCCTCCCTTTTCCATCAAACATGCACTCGCAGTCATTGACCACATACTTAGATTCCCTCTAACTACTCACCTAAACCATGCATCCATATCTAGAACCAAACATGCAGACCTTTACCTAACATATAAACTTTCTAAGCAGATGCAATTAAGCACGACAACCATCTAATCACCCCTTCTCTTTCACTTACTATTGATCTTAACAATCATCCAATGATCCAACCTAGCCATTCTATAATAAGCAAACCAACTTCAGCTCATTTTCTTGGGATGCTTACCCGTACCAAAATAGGAAACTTAAAGCCACATACACTTTTAGCTATCGTCCTCCCCTCCGAACCTCAATCATACTCCCAATCTCAATCTAAACCCCATTGCGTACAGCTATGATCGTTGAAATGTAGGCATTACTCCATAATGATACATGAGATCTTGTTCCTTGCCATCTCTCATATAACTTTATTGGTAACAAATGGGTGTACAAGGTTAAAACCAAGTCCGATAGTATTCTTAATCTATATTAAGCATGTTTGGTAATAAACCGAGTGGTCGAGTGGTCTCTTTCTTACTCAACAAAAATATGCAATTGAACTTTTGTTGAGAGCTCACATGCATCACACTAAGGGATTAAGTACACTTGTATATTCTAACACCAAACAAAGCGGCAAGGCGAGAACGACATTTTCAAACCCTTTTCTTTATAAAAGTGTTGTAGGAGGGTCGTAATATATACGTATTACTAGACTTGATCTAGCTACTCGATAAACAAGGTGGCCCAATATATGTGTGTCCCAATCGAAGCTCATTAGGTCGTCGTTAAAAAGATCCTATGTTATCTTTAGGCTACCAAGGACCATAGTTTATTTCTTCAAAAATTATCTCGATATTCAATCAATGCATACACGGACTTTGATTGGGACCGTGATGTAAATGATCATAAAAGCACATCGAGTTTTGCCATCTACCTTGGTAAAAATCGATTTCTTAGTGGTTTAGGAAACAACGAATCATAGTCTCGCTCCTCTAATTAAGTCGAATATCGAGCCTTAGCTATAATGTGTGTGGAGCCGGACTGGATAGAGTCTTTATTGCAAGAAATTAAGATGATGTGTCTTACTCCATCCATAATTTAATGTGATAATGTCTCGTTACTTATCTCACTACCACTCTCATTTTCACTCGTGCTCCAAACATCTTGAAATTGATTTTCATTTTGTGAGAGATAAAGTCAGACAAGGTGTGCTCCAAGTTTGTTACATGATCGCTAATAATCATATTACGGACATCCCGACTAAGCCATTATCCAAAACTCTATTTCACCAGTAAGATCTAAGTTACACATTCTTTCAGCTCTAGCACAACTTATAGGAGGGTGATAAGGATTAGAGTTTCAATCCTATACTTTCTCCTATGTTTTAGCTCTTATCCTTAGCTAAACTACTCGATATAACAATCAATGCTTATCAATTATCATCATTGATTGTACCTGTATACACTTGTAACACTCATATGATATACAGAGAACATTCAGCCATTATAAAACGATAGGAGGCATGTGCCAACTACTAATGTACAAAACGCTGTAATGTTGAGGAGAAAGCGACCAAAACCCAGCTGGCGGCAGTTCGACTTGCCTCTGCGGTGGTCCAATCTCCGCTTTGCTGTCCTACAGGGTGAAGAAGAGGAACTATAGTCCACACACATCTTCATGATCTCATAACTGCTATGATACTGTATTTATTTTATACGATCCACTGATTTTTTTCCACTCCAATCACTCATACAACAACAGTAATTAAAAAAAAATCGTAAATAAAGGATCAAACATGGCCCAATCGGCTTAGAGAATAATACAGGCCAGGTGTATGGATAATATAAGCGCTAATTTCATGAGGCCGAAGTGCTAATAGAGGACTTCAAGGCCCAATATATAAAACTAAAAGCCGAAGACTTGCAAAAACGTATTTGTAAATTATAGACCCAGATGGATGCGAGGGAGAAGGAGAAAGAGAGAGAGAAGAGAGACGAGGGCAGTCCGTGACTGGGAGCACAAGTTTATAGAAATGGCGAAGAAGAAAGATTCAGGTGCCTTACCTCACCTCATAATTTCTTTAGCTTATTGTGCTTATCCGTCGATTACTTATCGCTTGCTACCGTAAGTTAATTTATTAATTTAATTCACTTATTTCCATTTGTGAGAGAAACATCTAAGTGATGTTTCGTTTATTTGGAGGAAACTTTTACTTTTTTCTTTTCCTGAATAATCCTATGAAATAGGGATTGTCATGAGCAATCTAATTTTGTCTATGGTATTTCATATTCATCAAAAAAGTGAATAGGCTGATGTGTATGGAAAAGGCAATGTCAAATTCTTTTCTTTTTTTTTCAGATTAATGTACTGGATAGTTACCCTGTGGTGTCCATAGATAGTTATCATAATTGGTCTAATATGATTGTCTTATGATCTGCTTGCTTGCGTTATGTTAAAGGTAAGAGCTGGAATGAAAATTAATTACTTTTCTTTTTTGGGATCTTGGATAGTGATACTTCTGAGTAATGAAAACAGAAACAAGAAAATGGGGCTTGCTTGTGCTGTATTTAGCAAGGCCCTTGGAAGAAAGGAAATCATTGATAATGCTAAGACAGATGGAGTGATTATATGTTTGTTAAGATATTAAGCCGCACTGAGTATGGTTTTCTCTTGCCTACATCATGTTACTTGGATCAGGAATCAGATACACCATCATTAATTTATTCAAAATTGGCTAGGTCTACTTCGTCCCAGATAATTTACTTGGCAAATGTTCAAAAGGCAAAGGGGAGAAGAATTTATGTGACTTATATAGTATTTTCTCTCTTGTAGTTTAAGTCAGGTATTGCTTTGAGAAATAGAACCTTCCAATGTCAGTTAAGCATGCGAGGCTAAGAATGTTATTGAACTCAAATCCTATTTTCATTTTTTGAAGTTTGTTACGAATTTAACAGAAGTTATGCACGAACCATGCTCTTCAGACTGTGACTGCCTATCATCTGCTGGGCTCCCTGAGTACAAGGATTGGAACAACCTTAAAAAGGCCCAAATGTGAATCAACTATGTATGAAGAAAGCTTAAAGTTTTATTTCTAGCCCCTTTGTTTGCATTCAACGGAACTAGCTGAGCTACAAGTCGTAATTGAGCCTAGGAAGGTAATATTACATGTGAAATGTAATTGCTTCAATAATCTCATGGATTGAAGCTTTAACAGATCTGCTATTGGCATTTGTATTTTAGCATTAAGCCCTTAATTTTTTTATTTTTATTTTTATTTATAAAAAAAAAAACTCGTCTTTTCTCTGGCAGAAGGAGGCTGTCTTAAAGGCATGTACTGCATAACCTCCATTAATTTTGATCATTGGTGCCTGTGGAGTTGGTGAGAGTGACCGCAGAAGTAGCCAAGTTTTCACTTGCTAAACAAGTAAGAATGCAACTCAATCCGAAAGGACTACTTCGTGGATAGCAATGACGCCATGTGATCCTTATATTGTGAGAAATTATGACTGCCTGTGTGTATCATTCACGATAATGGAGTTGCACAACAGCTTTTTGTTCATTCAACTAAATGCAACCAAAATCTTGTAATAAGCTTGTCAACTCTCTCCGTGGAACTTTAATGAGCCAATGAGACTGTAAAACTGGTTGAAAATGATGTGAATATTAAACAATGCTACATAAATTTGCGTATTTACTTGTATGCTATTGCACTTCTAATATTGTTTAACTTGAGCGTTGAGCCCGTTTGTGAAGTTAGTCAATGTCCTTCAGAGTGCAAATCACAACGCGGTTGTATTTATGATATCAGTACAGAACCTCTAATAGACAGTGAAAAGAGTTTTCTGTATTGCCAATTGAGACTTCAAACTTTACTTTGGCGTATTAATGTATTGTTTTCATACCATTGTTTGGATTAAAAATTTGCTGCTCCCTGCAAATGTTAGTTGCTTTCCAATTATATGTTGTTAGTATTTCATCCCAAGCCTCTTTTAGATCTGAAAGCTTGATGGAATCTTAAATGATTTTTCTTAGGGAATCTTTGGCCATTGGATTAGCAGCAGGTTGGATAATACTGAATCTTCTATGAGATGTTGTGGCCATATATATGTGTGTGTATATATATATATATATTGAAGGAAATGAAATCTGAGGCTAGATAGAAACGTGAGCACCAGAGCCAAATGAAAGCTCCCTTCGATTACCCTTCCGTAGGCCAGAGCGCTGATTTTGACGTTAAACAATTTGGAATAAAGTTTTGAATTTACCTTGTAATGTCACTTTAATTCTGAGAAATTAAGGAGATTCTTCATCTCGTTCTACTTAAGTTTGCATTTACACGCAACTTTCACATCCAGCTGTGTGAATTGATCATAAGTCAATCTACCATGTACCTTCCTGTCTTTTACGTATATAACAGTTGATTTATATGGCTAGAAATTTAAGATTTTGACATTTTAATACTGTTCCAGCTGTTGGAACGTGATAGTGCCGCTCCTCATCCTAAAGTATCAGTACTTTGTGGCTGCATATGTCGCAACTCATAAAAAATCATACTTCGTAGGTGATGCAAGATGTAGCTCTCCCATGCTCCTATCTGTGAATGAGCTCTTAAGTATTTTGAGCTTTTAATGCATGGACCATGGAGCAACCTTTCTATTAGGCAACAGCCTGAAGTATCATTGACCATTAATCTCAACTGTCTGAAGAATTCAGGCTTTCCTCAGAATAGTTAAGGGTATTGATTTCTACAACCGCTGGGTGCCTGGGCATGAGCTGTTTGTGACCCAGTTGCCGTGTTGTAGAGGAATAGCAACTTAACCTAATACTATCTTAAAATTCTTTAGGTAAGTTCAAACAGGAATGTTTAATCTTCTTAGCTGTGAGATTCTCGAGCTCTGGATCCCTCTATTAACTGTGGAGGTTTGAAATGATTTACGGTTCTCTCTGGTGGTTGGTGTGATTGGGAGGGCATTAGGCCCTTCATTTAAGATAAGGGACCCATCACATGTTTATATTTCTTAGGGTAGATTCATATTTGATCAGACCATAGTACTTGATTGATGCTAAAATATAGCTGATGTCCTTGTTGCAGAGATACTAAGCAACCTCTGTAAACTTAAATTGGTCCAAACAAAGCAGCATTAAAAAGTGGTTGGCTTTTGGAACTGGTCAACATACATTATTGATCATGCCACATTCCCTGTCTGCAAGGCATTGAGTTTCTAAAATGTCAGAATTGCCCATCAGTGATACAGACACCCTTGCTTGCCCTTCTTGTATATTATATTTGTAGGATGGGTAAGGTTTCTTCTTCCTTCCTTTTTTTTTTTTTTAATGGGATTGACCTAATCAGGTGATGCTACAAAAGTGGTGCTCTTGGTGTGTGGTCTACCATGACGGGCTCACCACGTGATTGACCATTTGAAGCCCAAGTCAGCAATCCACAACCCAATCCAACCTCTCTCTCTCTCTCTCTCTCGATCGAAAATAAAATATACATAGAAAAAGTGACGTGAAGAACTCCAACAACAGCCTTAGGTGATGCTGAACCATTGTCACAAGAAACTCTGGTCGGCCTTTTTTTTTTTTTTTAAAGTTTTTGGTTGGCTTTCTAATTATTAATTTAGTTGCTGTTTCTGCCTTCCTGTTATGGCATGGCAGTAGATTAATTCTGCATAATAACAAGGTTACTATATGCCGTCCTTTGTCTGTCCAGTGTCCACTTGTCACTCATTTGGAGTATCTCTGGCCCACCAACCCATTTAACCCTCTAATTGATCAGATATGATATCAATTTTTGTGTTTGTGTTACCATGACAACCTACCTTGCAAGTTTTGTTTTGCTATATATTTTACTATGGCTTGAATGTAATAGACAAGGATTAGATGATTATTATAATTTGATAGGTTGTATTTGTTTTAAGGCAAGTGAGTCAACTATAACCAGGTCTTTGGCCTGTGCATGTGTGACATGTGTACGACACAGCCTATTTGATTAAGAATTATTACATAGGATTAGCAAGTCAAAGTGGCTCAATAGTTGGAAATAGTGGAAGAATCTCATTGTTAAAAACTGATCCATGTTGTCAAGCAAATTCAATTCATTTACAAGTATTTTTGCGCAAGCAACCTTTTATTTTACAATTTGATGGCTTGGGAGGAGGATTTGAATTTATGAACCTTTCTTTGGAGGAGTTGTATTGCTACCCAACTGCACTTTAATTGGATCGAGCCTATAGGTCTCCATTTACTTCTCTAATGATGTAGGAAATCACAATTATGAATCTAATAAGCTCACAGGGTTGGCTTTTGGTGACTTGTGACCCCATCTGTACTTCAAATTCTTCCACTTGCCCAAGAATCTATGAGTTTTTAGTCTTTGTGCTTTCACCTACTGGTCTTGTAAATTCAAAATATAGTTAACCCTGTTTCCCAACCCCAACAAACCTACTTCGTTGTTTCTTGTGTTGTTAGTAAGGATATGACAAATTGCAGCAAATGTCGTAGAAAATTTCAAGAATGTCTGTTTCCTGGGACAAGGTTGCAACCCATTTTTCAAAGAGAGATTAATTGGAGTATCTAGCAAGATTTTTTTTCTGATATGGAAATAGGTTCAGAATCCTTGGAGATTCGATCCATTTTGATATAGCTTCAAGGAATTAGGTTCTGCCTGGTAAGTAATTTTGCCTTTCCCACAGGGGAGAGTGGAACCGCTCGTGGAGGTGATATTCTTGCAAAAATCTTATTCTTATTCTTATATTCTGATGCTCTTGCGTAAGGATTATCTTTTTAACAAAGTCCACTCTGATGAGATATATGCTCTCTCTTTCTTTTCCTTGTTAGCTTTCAAATTTATTCTATTGAAAATCATTTGCCTTTTAGAAAAAGAATCAGCTCTGCATGGTTAATGGAGTAGCGTAAAATTGTTGTTTAAACATGGATGAAGAAACATTTCCATTTGCGAAAAGAGAAATATCACTAACTTCGTAATTTTGGGATTGATTACATGGTACCCTTTGTTGACATCCATATTTCCTCTCTACATTACTGATAACAGTTAATGCCGGATTTGCTTTTCTTTTCTTTCCTTTTGTTTTCTTGTGATTTGCCTTTCTGTTCTAGCCATACTCACAGACAAGAGAGACAGAAACCTAACGACACAAGCATTAGATTGCTTAAGATGGCTATTCTGGTTGAGAAGCCAGAACCCCTAAATACGGATACAAGAACTAAAGACTAATTAAGAGGGGCATTCTAGTTATGGTTTTCTTCTAAAATACGGAAAACTATTGCAACTGCTACTTTCTTCGTGATCATCTGATTCATTACAAGACGCCTCTGTGATTCCACTGGACCCTGAGGATGATGAGGAAGGAGCTAGATTCAAATCAGTTGTCCTCTCCTTTGTCATGAAATCATAGAAAACAGGCTTTGTGGTCCTGAGTTTGGGCAGTCTATTACCATTGCCGAATTGGATGTTTTCCTCCTCATTTTTGGTTCCTCTCTTCTTCAAAAATATACGGCACAGAACCCAATTTTCCATTGGCACCACAACAGGGCCCTGCGAAAAATCGACAGAATTATCAATTTGACTGAAAAGTATGACAGAATTAGCTGTAACAATGTATGCAAGTGGTTAAATAAGCTCAAGTTTTTTCTCCCCTCTTTCTTTTTTAGCAATTGTAGATTGCAGGAACAGAGAGAAAAGAAAATGTACCCAGTAAAAATTCTACCTGATTTGAGCTCTTCCTTTGCAGGGCATTGCAGGCTGCGGTTTCGATGCTAGCAAGACGGTACTCGTGCATGATCCAATCAGTCCTATTGCCATGCGGTGGCTTTCCTCTGTAAAAAACCAAAGTTTTCTTCATCCCCACAACTTGGTTGCCCTTAGAAGTCACAATTTGCTTGTCTATTCCAGTTGCCTTCCAGTAGCCAGAGCCTGTGGCTCTGTTGGATCGATTTCCATTGGGATACTTGGCTTCCCTGGTGCTGAAAAAGTACCTTTCTTGCTCCAAATCACCTGACTCACAAACGCCATATATCAGAACAAAGTAGCAATTATCTCCTTAAATTTTCTTGCAACCTCGTTGCTCAAGTAGTGTGGTGGCCACATGGCATTGCAGTTTGGTTTTAATTGAAAATCTATATCTAAAAATGCCTTTGCTGTTGATATTTTTGCCAAAAAATCCCAATTACAGCAAATTAACTTTCATTGCTAGTTGCCTGTGCATGATTATAACTAACCTGGCAAATCCCAAGGATCAGACTTGCAAACATCGACTTCAGGGATTATGGAAGCAGGCAAGGGGCAAGCAAACACCTTCCTCTTCAAGTACTGGACAACAAGCTCCTCATCTGTTGGGTGGAACCTAAATCCAGGAGGCAACCTAAGCACACCATTCTTAACAAAACTAAGCTTCTCCATAACTTATAAAACCACCTCACAACTGTATATGTATGCGCCTTGTGGCTCAAAAATGGCTCAACCCACTATTGGAGCTGCAGAATTCTAGCTCAAAGTCTCAAAACTCGTGCGCACTTCTTATAGTTACAACCCATCAAAGTTTATAGAAAGAGAATATTTGACACAGAGCCTCAACAAGAAGAAGAAAAAGAAAAGGAAAGCTAAAGATGGATATGAGTATGGAAAGAAAAGAGAAAAGGGTGAGAGGGGGAATTGAAGAGGTGTGGCTATTTGAGAGGGAAAGTGTGGCTTCTTTTATAGTAATGGGTGTGTTAGAGGGAAAGAAGAGGAGGAGGGTCTTTTGGAATAAGGACGACTCATTTGGCGTAAACAAGACTCAATCTCTTTCTTTTCTTTTGACGCTATTTGTTGTAAGGAAATATACGTTTAAGACTTTTAAGTACTTGGTTTTTCGGTTCTCTGCGTAAAGTTTCATTTTTTAAATTAAACCAACCCATAAGAGTCTAAAAATTAAGCTTAGTTCTGTTCGACCTTTGTGTATGGGGATAACCGATGCAGTTAAACCTCTTCTCAACGTGTTCCTCTTCTTTTCTGCCCACGATACCAGGTTTGAAATTACCTTTTCACCCTTCCTCTCTAACATATAAATCATTTGTTTTTTTTTTTTTAATCACATGAAAAGCAAAGGAGTAGAGAAGAGAAAGGAGTGCTGTGGCTCTACCGTCCTAGCATGGGTAATATATTCTCATCCTTCATGGAATACTGGTCTATGTCAAACCACAATTTTTTTGATGTCAGAAGTGTTCTCATGAAGAAACAAATGAAATTGCAGGTTCTTTGTAGATGGCTATTCTAAAATACATTTCACTCCGCAATCAACATAATTAATGACTCCAATTCATGTACTTGTTATAAAATTTTTATTGTTTTATTTTTTTATTATCTTGTTCATTTATATCACTTGTAAATTTAGTTTCTTTCTAATGATTAAATTATATTATGAGAATAATTATTCCTTTTACTTGTTGTGTTTCACAACTTATAGAACTTTCTTATTATTAAGGACGTAAGGCAGAGTTAAAATTTGAAATGAAGGGAGAAGAAGAGAGATCGTGTTTTTTTATTTCTTTACCCCCACATTGAAGATAATCATGTATATTTATAAAAAATTTATTTAAAAACTAACTTATTTATTATTAAACCAACAACTTATTGGTAAGGAGAGAGCATTTTAAATTACTAGTCTATACTTTGAAATTGCTACTAAGTTTTATAATCAAATGCTAATTAACTGTTAAATTTTTTAAAAATACAATGTTTAATTTCATTTCACCTCTAAAATAATAATTTTGTTGCAAAAACAAATTCAGTAATAGATAATGCAGACTTATTTTATAAAATATAGAATATGATAAATTCATTAATTATGATCATAATAAAGATTTTATTGGATATATTGACAAAATTTTTGTATTTATTGTCAAAGAATCATTTCAACCTAAAAATTTAAGTTTTTAGATGAAATCCTAATAATATTTTTAAGTTGTAGGAGAAGGTGTTTTCAGATAATTTAATTAAAAAAATTCGACCACCTTGCTGACAGATTTATGTTCTCTTATGCCAGCACATTGAGTTGGTTGGAATTTATAAAACCAGCAACACTAGTGTATAAATCTTTCTTTTTTTCGGGATCAATCCGTCACTCCCTCAATTAATGAAAAATAAAATATAATTATTAGAAGATTATTCGTTACATCCTGAGATCCTCTTTCGTTTTCATTTATGTGAGATTTAAAATGATCACTATATCAAAAATAATCTAAAAAAAGAAGATAATTAATGATCATATAATTGCATTAAGTGCGTGCCGTACTGAATGATTTAGCTTAATATGTATAATTAGAAATAGACTTCATTGTTTAATTCAAAGAAATGGAGTCAGGGAAATTTTGGACGGTGAAGGGGGACAACTCGGTCCAGGCAACCGCATCGGGAGAGTCTGGTCTTTTTCGTAAAAAGAATATGAATATTTAACAGCCGAATAAGGTTTTTACAAAAGGTCACAGCCTCGTAAGGATGAAGTCAGCTTATGTCACGCATACAGCTGGGGGTCACTACCGATTTTGCCTTAATGGCAAAAGGCGAAAGTACGAACTACCCCTACGTAACAAATTTGTTGCTTGTTTGTGCTCTTATTAAAGGGAACAATTTTTGTTACCTGGTGGTTTCCGAAACCCCCTCATCAAATGTCTGCAGTTTTTCATAGCTTAAAACAGAAAGGCGTTGATTTTTTTTTTTCCTAGAAATGTTTTCATTTTTTTAGATAATTCAATATATATAGGACCGAAATTACATTATATCGATAGTTTTTTCAATGTCCTAACTGAAAATTATATGATTTTTACACATATTAATAATTCATATAATTTAAATTTTTTTATTGAAATTTTTTAGTTTTTTTTATATTCAATTTAAAACTTTCACCCTTTTATTGTTATTGTCTTAAACACTAATATATCACATAAATACACATGTTAAACTCTAACCAATTATAGTTCGTCACATGTCATAGTGGTTTTAAATTGAGTGATTGAACTTGGAGATGTGACAAGTTGTCATTAATTAAAACTTATCAAGTGTGCTTATATGGTATAGTAGGATCTGAAATAATAACAATATAAAAGTAGAATTCTTAAAAAAAAAAACTTAAGATCTTAATAAAAAAAATTTAAATTGTATCGAATCTCGATGTATATAAAACCCAAAATTATACATCATGAGGTTTTGAATTCTAAACCTGTTCATAGAAATGATTGAGGCATGAATTGATTCTTCAAATAATCTGCACCATCCCTCTTTTTCGGACATATCCTCTATATTTCAGTTCGTCACATGTCATAGTGATTCTAAATTAAATTATTAAATGTGAGATGTGACAAATTGTTATTGGATAAAACTTATCAGATATGCTTATGTGATATATTAAGATCTAAACTAATAACAATATAAAAATTAAAATTTTAAATAAAAAAAACTTAATATCTCAATGAAAAAATTTTAAATTATACCGAATCTCGATTTACATAAAATCTAAAATTATATTTCATGAGGTTTTGAATACTAGACCTGTTCATTGAAATGATTGAGGCATGAATTGATTCTTCAAATAATCTGCACCATCCCTCTTTTCCAGACGTATCCTTTATATTTCATTCTCGATATGAAAATGAAACTGATACACTAATGATGTTCTCACTGCACAAAGACAACGATGCCAAAGAAATGGACGAACGAGAAATTTTGAGTATGAATCCTATATATGAAGTTAGTGTTTTCACTCTCAGATTATATTAATTACTCAATGATAATAAAACCATCATTTTCTTATATATATAAGGGTTGGAGACATAAATAGTTTAATGCATATTACTTTATTTGGTAAATAAGTTTAAAAAACACATACGATCAACTATTGAATCTAAATTAGCATGTCAATTTTATTTTTTTCAAGGACCGAAACATGGATATATAAGTACACTAAAGTATCTTCAAATGCCAGAGATTGCTTGCACAGCTAGAAAAAGATTCCAACCTAATATAATAAAGTTAATCAATATTTGCAAAAACGATTTATCAACCCAAAATGGTCGTTGAAACGTTTTTTTTTTTTTTTTTTTTTGAAGTTCTCGAATGGAGAATAAAATATACACCGAAATGGGCACGATACTATTACATTATGGGGTGCACGCATTGGAATGCGTGTTTAACTGACTTGATTATTTCGTACAAAAAGGCCTCGTTTGTGAGGAGGGCTCACGGAAATTGACAATTGTGCTGCTGCATGTTCTTCCTCTGGAGGGTCCATTTGCCCAATGCCTTTATATATTATTTTTCTTGGTTTAATTGACTTAGTTTTTTTTTAATTTTCGTTTTAAGATATGAAATAAGATTTTTATTTTTCATAATCTGATTTAATATTTGAATTATGATAATTAAAGAGGAGTACGTTCAAACCAAAATTTGATATCTACATTGTAAACGTAAACAACTTAAATTCGATGAAAAAGAATATATTTTGGTTGGATTTGAAAAGGGTATATCCGTCATTTTCCATTTGCTGCGACCTTGAGGGAGGTGGGTGATGGAATAAAGATAAGGGACCTACTTGCTTCCGAAACGACGGACACCCACGTCGGATTCAGGGTAACTGACAAAAATGCCACCTTCAAGTGATGCCCCATATCCAGATTTCCTAAATCTTCTTGTCTCACTATTTTGGATCAGATGGAAAAATTTAGGAGTAATCGTCTAAAGAATCTTTATCTTAGCGGAAGGACAAATGTGCCCTTACAACCCAAATACTGTTTATTTCATTGCATCTTTCCTTCTCGTTAATACTTCAAAAGAAATGCTTTTTTTTGCTCCATGTGGTAAGCTCAACAATTTATACTTTAATAAAAATCCTGAGCACCTGGGATATTCAAACTAATTTCATAGAGATGTATCGTAGGATATCATTTGGCTGAAAATAATGTTAAAAAGCCAATTCATTCAGAACCATCAAATTAATCGAAAATTGGTTAAAAAATAATTAAAAATGCTTCAAGAAGTTAAAGCACGAAACAATAGAATAATTAATAAACAAAACAAAACTATTAGAAGTGATTGTATCCCATGTCATAGGTGCACTCCAATAGTTACATGCACCACAAAAATAATAATTTAAAGACAAGGTATTTTGGCTTCGATAAACAAAGTTAATAAAATACTAGTACCTTTATAGCTACAATGGCATCAATGTAGTAGTAGTGAAATAATAGGGGTGGTTGAGGGATTATAATATTATTGAAGTGCGAGTTAACGTGGGACAGTTGAGATTTAGTTAAAATGGAGCCTCAAACTTTGACAAATGAAGATGCTTAATTCCGTATGGAGAAGGGAAACTCTTTTTCGACTATTCTAAAAGATTTTGAGGACTAAATTGGAAAAAGCGAAACTTA